CCTGTCTCAGCCTCCTGAGTTCAGGATTCACAGATACCTCACCACACACAGCTTATCTACTCTCTTGATTGCATCTGGAAACCATATGGAGTGGCAGATACACCATCTAGATTTATATGAGCACAGTCTCATCTTCACCCAATGAAACCTACTAATGACTGCACACATCTCCTGGAACTTAAAGATGTCTGTACTCTGGATCTAGCCCATCTGTGTTTACTTCTTAGTGTCTCCCCATCTACTAGTGCCCATTCCTGAACCATCCCAAGATCCTCCAAATTCACTGCCTAACCACCAACCCTTGCCTTGGGTGGCCTATGGCATCTATCTGATGAGTGTCTTTAGTCATGTTCTTTTACTAATAAATGCTAATAACTAAATGAATCTTGACCTCTCAAAGGGGATTTCAGTGCTCTGAACACACGAGTTCTCAGCCTGTTGTTTCATTTTGACATTTAACTCTTAATTTTTCTATATCAGTGTCATCTTCTTAATCAGACCTGATGCAAAAATGAAGTCCTTGATGATGGTGATGATGTCATGCTGGTATCAGTAGCTTCAGGGAGACTAAATAATAAACTTCTTCCTTAGAAATGAACTTTGGCTCTGTTTTGGCATTGGTGTGTGAAAGTATGCAAGCAACTCTCATGGCTATAGGGTCTTTACAAATGTAGCATTGGGGTGGAGATTTGCCTGTATTGGTAGACTGCTTGCCTAGCATGCTTGAAGATCTGAGTTTAATCCCAGCACCACAGAAACAAGCTGCATGGTGCTGCATGCTATAATCCTGGCATTCAGGAGGTAGAGGCAAGAGGATCAGAAAGTCACTGTCATCCATAGCAGTTTAAGGCCAGCTAGACTCTGAGAAGAGAAGCCAGGGAAAATATCATTGGTTTCAAAGAGGAAGTCTGTGGCATGGAGCTTAAATATATCTTTGCAACACAGCTTGATGGTGACAGGGCAGTGGGAGTAAACTTCGTTTCACCATTTCTGTAAAAAGGAAGAGAAGCAAGTAAAAAGTTTTGTCTTTGACGACTACATCTCATGACTGGATTTTTTCTGGAAAGGTAAATTAAAGACCCTTCTAATCCAGAATAAGTAGTTGCTTATCAAAGGACATTTTAAATGTTTATTTGGTGGTTTCTGATGTGTTTTTCTTATTTGGTGGGGGAAGGACTGCATTTGAATGACTATTGGCACACGTCTCAGTTAAGTCTTGTGCCAGATCAAACTGCAAACAATTGTTTCTGGTTCAACTTTCTGCTGCTCTATCATGTCTGAATTATTGTTTGTTTCTTTTGGAATTAAAAATTGTGTGTGTGTGTGTGTGTGTGTGTGTGTGTGTGTGTGTGTGTGTGTGTGTGTATACATCTCAAGGACAACTTTCAAGTAAGTTCTTTCACCTTTGCTTGGGATCTAGTCATTGAATTTGGGTTTCTAAGTTTGTGGGACATATGCCTTTATTTACTGAGTCATCTTGCTGCCCCTTATTTTGGTAGGTTGTTTTTGTTGTTTTGAGACAGGGTCTCATTATGTAGCCCTGACTGCCCTAGAACTCGGGCTGTCATAAATCTGCCTGCCTCTGGCAAATGCTGGAGTTAAAGATGTGAGCCCAATTCCAGGTTTGTTTGGGATTTTTTGAGACAGAGCCTGTGTAATCCAGACTAGCCTTGACCTCAGGGCAATTCTGCCTCAGCCTCTCAAGTGCTGGGATTACAGTGTGTGCCACCACCCCTGGCTAGATTGTTTTTGTCACCTGGATTTGTAAGTAGCTGTTTCTCTGTGAGGTTGCGAGATGATTTAGTCTGTGAGGGTAGGGTGACCTAAGTTTTTATGTGATAATATTGATTTGTATTGTCTGTTCATTTAGAACCACTGCTGCAAAAGAAGGCGTCAATAGCTCTGAATATTATTAGATCTAGTGGAAATCCACACTCCTCAAGAAGAATACATTTCAATATTATAAGTAAATATTTATAAAAGTTATAAATATATAGTATAATAAAATACAGTCAGATATACTAGTACTGTATGAAGTCCTTAAATGGATACCATTGACTTGTTTTATTTTTATTTTATTTTTTATTTTGAGACAGGCTCTCACTATGCAGCCATGACTGTTCAGTAACTTACTATGTATACCATGCTGACCTTGAACTGAACTCACAGACATCCACTTGTCTCTGCCTCCCAAGTTCTAGGCTTAATTAAGCATGACCAACATAAATTTCAAAAAGAACCAAAGACTGATAGAAAAGTCATTATCCCTGCTGATTCTGCATGGATTATGGTCTTCCTGTTTTCATAGTCAGACTCCTCAACATATTTTCTTGTCAGTACTTTCCTTTTGCTCTGACAGTGACAGATATGAAAATGCTTGCTGAATGGTGAAGTGCATTATAATGTTGCCTTACTACTGTTTTAATGACACCTGGAAACAGGAATCCTTCTCAAAGTCTTCCCCCATAGCTAAGGATTGGGAAAAGTCACTTATAAGACCTCACAGATTAAAACATGAACCATTTATGGCATTTTCTAAGTAAATTGCCTTAAAATTCAACAGAAATTGGAGAAAACCCCAAATTTTTTTTATCATGGGTTTGCCTAAATATGTATTAAAATTGTGGCCACCAAAAAAAAAAAAAAAAAAAAAAAAAACCAAGTTTGTAATTAAAATTTTATACATAAAAGGACCTGTTTCACTATTAGTTGTTAAACACATTGGCAAACATTTGTATAAAAAGGGAACTGGTTAAGAAAGCTCATCTGTGCTCAATAGACATATATGGGTTTGCTTGCCACAGTTTGTTCTTTCTGTTCAAATATTATTTGAAAATATGAATGGGAAATTTCCATAAGTAAACAACCATGTTTTAATAGATTTTATTATGATATAGCACTGTGATTAGTATGTTTTATTTTAGTTTTGTAGCCAATCCCTCGCTGTAATACTTTCTAAAGTAAACTTCATAGGCATGGCATGTGCACGGGCTAAGTGTGTGTGTAAACTTAGTACAAGCTAGAGTCATCAGAGAAGAAGCAGAGTCATGAGAACCTCCATGAGATTCAGCTGTAGGGTGTTTTCTGACTTAGTGATCAGTGGGGGAGGGCCCAGCCCATGGTGAGTGGTGCCATCTCTAAGCTATTGGTCCTGAAAGTAGATTGAGCAAGCCATGGAGAACAAGCTAGTAAGCAGCACCCCTCCATGGCCTCTGCATCAGCTCCTGCCTCCAGGTTCCTGCCCTGTTTGAGTTCTGTCCTGACTTCCTTTAGTGATGAACAGCAATGTGAAAGTGTAAGCCAAATAAACCCTTTTCTCTCCAACACGCTTTTGGGTGGTGGTGTTTTGTCAAAGCAATAGTAACCCTTGTAATGAGTAGGGTTTTTCTGCCCGCCACCTGGTCTTGTCCTGCCGCAGCGCCTGCCCCAATTAACACACAGAGCCTCTGTATTTGATATAATGCTGTTGGCCCGGTTACTTGTTTCTTATCCACTATCTCTGTCTTAATTATTAACCCATTTCTACTGAACTATGTATTTCTCTTACCGGGGAGCCTGCTGGCATTCTGCTTTCTCCAGACTCTCCATCTTGGCTCCTCCTAACTACTTCCTCTTTCCTCCTTGTCTCCTAGTCCCTCCTATCTTGCTTTCCTATTGGCCAACAATGCTTTATTCATTAACCAGTATGAGAAGCATATATACATAATGGCACCTCCCATCAAACCCTAACTAAAACATCAAGCATAAGAAAAAGCATGGTCTATATTGTACAGGTTTTGGAACTGTCCTTGGTCTTTGACACCTGCACAACATCTTACAAAGTATCTTCCACAAATGGGGTGGGGTGGTACTGCAGCAGAAAGGACTAGCACCACTAAAAATGTTCTGCAGGGTTTTAGAAGTGTGTAAGAATGAACAATGTTGAGCAAAACACAGACCTGGCCTCATATAGGAAGAAGTGTTCCAGGCAGCATGGGATGTATGGCTAAAAGGAATCCATTCAGCTAGCAATGAACCCTAGGAATACCTTCCTGCCTTTAGATGCTTTATAGTTTCTGGATTTTGCCTAGATGTAATGCCATAGAAGCCAGAAGGGGGCGACTGATCCCTTGGAATTAGAGTTACAGATGATTGTGAACTACCTTGTAAGTGCTGAGAATACCTGGGTCTTCTGGAAGAGCAGCAGGAAATGGTGCTAACTATTGAGCCATCTCTCCAACCTCATCTTTACATTCATTTTAATAATACCTAGAGACTGTCCAGGGACATACATGCATGTCTGAGAAGCCACCACATATCTCAAAGATTAAAGGTGCACCATATGTCATTCTGTGTTACAATGAAGGAGTCACTAGGAGTGCCAAGGCCACACAGTAGTACTGGGATGGTGGCCCCCACCGTGCTGGAATTTTGCGTGATTGATTGATTGATTGATTGATTGATTGATTGACTGACTGACTGATTGATTGAGACTGGGTCTCATGTAACCTAACAGCAGTTTTCTTGGTTTTGTTTTACTATTTTATTTATTTCTTCATATGTACATGCAGTACTGACTGGTGCAGGCCAGAAGATGTGTCAGATCCCCTGGAACTGGAGTACAGCTGTGAACTGGACCCTTGTCCTCTAGAAGAGCTCCAAGTGCTCTTAACCACTGTCCCATCATCTCTCCACTCCCTTACTTTGCTTGCTTGCTTTGTTTGCGATAGGGTCTCAGATGGGCTAACTTGGCATTCACTGCAACTCCTGATCCTCCTACTTACCTCTCCTACTACCATCTCCCCAGAGACACATTCCACCACACCCAGCTGCTGCATATCCCTGACAGCACAGAGAGTGATGCTAGGCTGAAGGGTTCAGATGTAGCTTCTCTGGCCATCGGACATGCCCAGGTGAACAAAGTACCAAAGAGGCACCACGGCACCTCCATGGTGGGATTAGCCCATTCTGAGCTATACCCCAGTATGATTGCGCTGCCATGCCCAGCCTCCGCACCAAGCTAAAGAATACCTGTTTTATTCCCAGGAGAAGTCAGCATGGGATCTACTTCCTCTACATCTAAACCCCAAATCAGTGAGTTCGGGACAGAAAGCATCGCTTCCCTTGGCTCGCACAGTGAATTGGCAAAAGAAGGAATTGTGTTGAAAGCCCCATGGGTGACAGTGTTAGCTAGAGCATTTCTGAGCTAGAAGAATTCAAATTTATCATAATACAGAAGCCAGTGTCTCCCAAGGAATAGAAAAAGGGACCCGAAAGACCTGACTGGCCCTCCATGCTGGTAGTTGATGAAAATCTAATCATATTTCTTGTTCCCCTCCCTGTGGGTTAGGCACTGGAAAAGGCACATGCACACCACATGGGGGGCAGGTGTCACGAGTTTGGGAAGTACCTACTGAGGTCAAAGGACCCACAGCTTGCCAGGTCTCCCACTAAGCCCTGAGGGAGACACAGAATATTTATTTTGTTTGCATAAGGGACACAGGGATTCGACTCTAGACTCTGCTTCTTTAGTTTGTAAACCAGTTCAAGAATAGCACTACATTTCACCTTAAAGATCTCAGTCAGACAGGGTGCATCTCAGTGATGCAGAGTTTGCCCTAGTATGCAAAAGGCCCTGGGTTCACTTGCCCAGCATTGGCAAAAACAAAAAACAACCCTGTTCTCCCCCTCTACAAAATTGTAGCCAATTTCTAAGTCCCTATGGATAGTGGAGGTGCTTGTGGTTTTATCCTGGAGGGATGGCAGGAAAAGAGCAGGGACACTGATCTCCCAAAACTGATCCCTCTCATGTTCTTTGCAGGCACAGTCTCCACGGCAGCTCCAGTGACCAGCTCTACACCCTGTTCCTCCAGCCCTAAGTAAAGGAACACATTTTATCCAAGCCATGTGGCACTGGACTTTTTGTTGATCATTTTGTCTTAGGGACTTAGGAAGGGCAATCTGAGTGGGAGAGGAGACCAGTAACAGTGAAAGAACTAAGTCTTTGATCTTAGAAGTATAGTTCTGCTCTTTTGCTTGCAGGGCAGGGAAAAGGGGAGAGGGATAAAGCATATCTGACAACGTAGTCCAGGCTGGCCTCCAACTTGCCAAAATCGTCCTGCCTCAGCCTCCCACGTGCTTATAACCACGTGGTTATAAGCAGTATGAACTCAGCATTGCCCAAGATGTGAGAGATGATGAGTCCCCTGAACTTACAGTGCTCAGGTGTGCAGTGATGAGGACAGGGTTGGGAGTCTCAAATGTCTCTGGAACCCGGAAGTAGAGTGTCTTTTCCCAGGCAGTGGGTGGGAGCAAGTCCATCAGCCTGTGTGAGAACCTAAGAAAGAAAGCTTGGCTTCCAGGAAAGGCTCCAAGAGGCCCCTGCCAAAGATTTAACTAGTCCCTTTCTTTGCCATAACAGACAGGAACATTTAACCTTGGCCTTTTTTGCCGGGGTTCTGCTGACACTGATACTCGTGGCCCTTATCTTCATCATCGTCAAGAGCTGCAAAAAATGTGAGTGGTCTCTGTGAGATTTGTCTTGCTGTCACTGAGAACATGAGCAATGACTGATGGAGAAGTGGAGAGAAAGCCTGCTCAGCCCACCCTCTCCACTGATCCACCTCGAGGCCCTTCTCTGCTCTTCCTTGCTGCTCTCCCCCTACACCCCTACCTACTAACTTTCACACAGTCAAGGGGAGAGGCTCCCCACTCCTTCAGACCCCATGGTGAGAGGACAACCCTCTTCTTCCTGGCATCTGCTGCAGGTTACTCCAAGGCCCAGGAGCCTATCTCAGAGCCTCCCATCAAGGTAAGATCATGCTGTTGTTTTAGGGTTGTAAGAGGGGAATTGAATGATGAAAGTGGCATAAATTGTTTGTGGGGAGTTGGTTTAGTCTGTGATCTACACACTGGGTTATTGGCTGGAATATTGGTGTCACTCTCTGGCTCTGGACAAGTGACTCTTGTATGAGTTCTTCTGTTCTCTTTGGGTCCCCACTTACCAAAGCTTTCAAGACACTTTTGAAGGGACACCTCTTGCTGCATATTAAAATCCTTCTTCCTCCTCTTTCTCCTCAGAAGCTTTCATCTGTCTCAAAGGAGTCACTTACCTATGCCAGCATGACTTTCAAGCCCGCAGAAGGAAACAGCAGCGACTTGGCTGGAAAACACTCCACAGGCTTGGACACCACTGTCTATTCTCAAATTAAAGTGACAGGCCCATCCCTGCCTCTCCAATGAGGCAGAATGCAGAAATTCCACTCAGCTCCAGCTACGTTGTTGCTTTCTGGCTTTGTTTTGTATGTTTGTTTTTGTTGTTTGTTTCCTACAAACTTAGGAGTACAGCCTGTGTACAATGCAGTTGAAGTGTAGACCTGATCTGCTAGTGCTGTCGTCTGTTTTAAAAACCAATGGTTAATTACTTTCTCCACCAGAGAAAAGGCTGCTAGTGCATTCACTCTGATTGGCAATAGCAGCCCCTTAAAGCAACGCCTTTGAACTTTCCAAAAGCAGACAGAGCAAGATGAAGAAACTCACTGATGATAACCAGAGAGGAACCGACCCTAATGAACATTCTAAGATTTTCAAATAATGGCGAACACTCCTCCAATGTTGGCCGCCCCTCGTTAGTTGTCACTCTGTCCCATCATCTTCTTCAGAAGTCAAGACCAGAGCTATAAGCCAACACAAAGTTCATATTGTATAGGACACTAGTCAAATGTGGGTGACAATCTTGGTTGCGAGACAAAGGTGAAGATTAAACATGTTCATTTACCTTCAAAACAAAGGGACAACCATATAGACCTCCTCATTAAAAGTATCAGGAAGATTCTTTTTAATTAGGCAAGCATATTCTGAAATATAAGTACTAAATAAGAAGAAAAATTATAAAGTCAACATGAGGATTGGTGTGGTAGATAAGGGTATTTGCTACCAAATCTGACAACTTGAATTCAATCCGTGGGACTTATATGGTGAACACAGAGAACTGACTTCTTCACATTTACTCTGTGGTGTGTGTAAATGCCAGTATACAAACACACATGCACGGACAAATATGCACTCAACTGTTGTGACAGTATTCTTAAGATTTGTTTTATTTTATGCATGCAGTATTCTACCTGCATGTAAACCTGCACCAGAAGAGAGCATCAGATCCCATTTGTAGATGGTTGAGAGCCATCATGTAGATGCTTGGAACTGAACTCAGAACCTTTGGGAGAGCAGCCAATGCTCTTAACCACTGAGCCATCTCTCCAGTTTGTTACAGCATTCTTAAGGCCTGTGAAAGCCCTAGCATGGAGAGGTGAGTTGGGCACACAATTCTATCCCTAGCTGAAGAATGTTGGCAATTATTAGCTGCTGGTAAACAAAGAGTGTTCTCTAAGAGTATAGTCCCTGGTAAATTGACTGAGAATAAATTCAATACATAGCCACTGGGCAAAACTGGGATTGGTCAGGAGTGGGGGGGAGGCATTTTTTTTTTGTGTTTGAAACTCAAAAGGAGAAAGGCTGCAAGGAAATATGCAGGCATAATATCCTTAGCCTTATCCTTTCCCTTGGGCTGCTGAGCTTGGAGTCCCTCCCAAATAAAGGAGTCAGGACAGAGCCTGAACTATGCACATCTAAGGCTTTGCAAGAGCCACGATCCAATCTAACAAGATACATAGAGAATCTGGTCAATACCCGATCTCCATTCCAACCCAGAGTAAACCAGGGGACCACTTGAGGATTCTAAGGCTGGAACTACACCCCATCAGAAGAGACCATGGCATATTAAACTTCTGAAGCTAGGGAGACACCTCACAGGAACAAGAACCTGACTTTGATCCCAAGAACTCGTGTAAAAATGTAGGGTGTGGTAGGACACGCTTATAATCCTAACCCTGGAGAGGCAGACACTGGAGTATCCCTGGGTCTCATTGTTTAGCTAACCTAACATAATCAGCAAGCTTCAGGCCAATGAAAATCCCTGTTTCATACATAGTGGGCAGCCCCTGAGGAATGACATCTGAGGTTATCCTCCAGCCTCCATATGTGCAAGAATACCCATGATGTGTGCTTACCCCACAGAATACCAGGGCTCTTATGAGGGCAGCAAAGGCCATGATCAAACAGTAGGAGTGACACTATATGGGGAGAGGGCTGCAGATTGCAGGGAAGCATGTAGGATAGTGGTAGTCCTGCACCAACAATGATGTGACTCTATTTCCTCCCACCAAAGATGATGCCTCATTCTTGCCTTGTGCTTCCTGATTTGTATGCATTTGCCACTTGTCATCCCTTGGTTGCTCACTGGTCAGAAGCAGCATCCACTTACTCTGGTGACAGGTTTCCATTTGAGGATGGATGTGTTTTGGGGGGCCCATGATCTTTTCACCAAGAGACTATGAGAGTCAGATTCAATCCTACTTTTGGATAAAGTGGCATTTAATACTAATTCAGAGATGCATTGAAATGTTATGCTTTTTAGGGACATTTCAAGAAATGCTTTTCCAATGATGGCCTAGGAGAAGTTAGTCATACTTGAGGACTCTTTCAACACTATTTGGATATTTATTGGCTGATAAATAAAATACAAGTCATTTCCCCTTATCCCAGACTCTGTACCTCTTCTTCACTCCAGCTAATAAATGCTAAGGTCTGGAGATGTTATCCAATGGCAGCTTTGCTTGGCGAGGTCTGTGATCACTCTTCTGACCATCACTGTTGTCACCTTGCCACGAAAGATTGCTTCAAGGTCAGAGAGTCCTTTAGTAATCCAGAAAGGTCAGAATCAGCCTCTGAGATGCAGGCTAGTTGTCATGGAGATTCAACTGTAACTACATCAATTTGGGAACTAAATGAAAGAAATCTTCAGTCACGTGTTCAGTTTGAGCCATTTCCTTGAGTCAGGACATGTGGGAAGAACTTCAAATCGTTGCCTACTATGTTGGGAAATAGAAAAGGAAAATTGAGTTGGGGGCTCTTGCTGAAGTATTTGTCAGCAAAAAGCCACAAACTTCACTTTCTTGAGCCTATTTTACATACCAAGATTGTTTTAAAACAAATCTAAGCATTGCCAACCTTTACATTTCCCAAAGCTTCCACATGGCAAAAGGCAAGGAAGCCACTCCTGGCAATCCTGGGCTTCCTGGGAACAAAACACCCAAGTTTGGATTTTAAAAATTGATTAATTCTGCCTCTCTCCTCTCTCTCTCTCTCTCTCTCTCTCTCTCTCTCTCTCTCTCTGTGTGTGTGTGTGTGTGTGTGTGTGTGTGTGGTGGAGGATGCATAAGTGCTATGTGTACCACAGCACACATGTGGAAGTCAAAGGACAAACTGCAGCTATGAGAGTCCTGGGGATTAAACACAGGTCATCAGGATTGGTAGCAAACACCTTTACTTGCTGAGCCATCTTACCAGTCCTGGAAACACTAAAGTTTGTTTTCAGGGAGGTGTTGTCCCTGCAAGACTTGTCAGCCAGCTGTAGGCAAGGTCAGTGGGTATCTGGGGCTTGAGCTTCTCTCCCTGAGTTTTGATGGTATAAGTGCATCTGGAATGCACAGCCCAAGAATAACAAAGCTAGAAGGGACTTTATTTCACATTGCTGTGTCCCCCAAGCATGGGGCTTCTTGCTGAAGAGAACAGCATTAGATTCTATTGCCCCGTCTTTTACAGCATCATGTCATCTTCACTTTTTCTACTTAACAAGGTTACATCTATGTTTACGTGTGGCTGTTTGTATCCCTCCACCTCACCACACCACATTATTTTTGCGACAGAGTCTCACTCTGCAGTCTAGGCATGTCTAAAACTCACTATTTAGTTCAAGCTGACCTCGAACTTGAGATCCTTCTGCCTAGGTTTCTAGGTGCACCACAGCTGCCCAGGTGTTTTCCTATTTTACACCATAAGCTCCATGGAAATAGGTGCTATCTATTTTGCACCTTCGTAACCCCAGCAACTAGCATGTTCCTAGTTTGCAAAATGAAGAAATCATGGGTGGGTTGTTGGGTGGGATATGGGTGGATGGATGGATAGAAACCACAGAAGAGTATAGGAACAGGGCAGGAAATGTAGAGGGAAAAACTGACTTGGGAAAGAAAAAATGTTACCCTGGGTCATATCTTAAAGAAGTGATGGTGAGTTCCTGGAAAAAAAAAAAAAAAAAAAAAAAAAAACTACAATTGTGTCCTAGAGGAAGTAGAACCAGACAAACCCTGCTGCGTGGTGCTTTTCCATATCCCTCACCTCCATTGTTCCCAATGCTTCTAGATGGCAAAAAGGCAAGAATGCTGTGGGAGCTGCTCATTTGCCATTTGCGGGAGCTTGCTCTGCATCTGCCTGGGACCCAAACAGCACAGGGGCACCTGGAGACCCTGCAGCCTTGTCTTCATATTTCAGCTCCTGCTGGCCCTGGCCCCTTGTATGTCACTAACAGGTCTTCCATCTGAGGATGCTACTGGGATTTGGTGATGGTGCTGGATTTCTGTTCTGAGGCTTTTGTTTGTTTGCTTTATCTTAATCATTATTTCTCTGAAATGTTGTTTTTGTATGTTCCCAAACCCAGGCAGGGTGACTGAAATCCATTTTGTAATTACAGCTACAGTCTTTTCATTGTCGATGGTGTTTCCATGGTTTCTGATCATAAAAAGACAAAAGCTAACAGTATGGCCTTCGTCAAACAGATTCTCACAGTGTTCTTTCAGTTCTGCAAATGCTTCAGAACTTAGCAGAACCACAATATGGTGACCTAGAGAACTTTCTTGATGGCAGAACCAGCCTGCATCACAGGAAAAGGCAAGCAATCATGCAGTCCCCTCTCTATGAATGGGGAGAGATGAAGATGGGGTTCTGGGCAGGGGTCTCAGGACTCAGTTCTGAAGAATAAAGAAGGGAACTTACCAAGGGTATGGAGACCACAGAAGGAGCTTTGCTTGGCTGGGGACTTCTAGCGATGCTTTTACCAGTAACTACCCAAGAAAAAAACAGATACAAAGATAAGGGCTGAGGTTCCCGGGCCAGCCCTTCCCACACAGACCCCTTGCAAGAAGACCTTTTTGCACCTGCTAGAGGGCAGTTACAGAAGCTCCATCGTTTGACAGGAGCCTTGGCTCCATCGCTATAGGAGAACAAAATGTTTCAAACAAAGAGTAAAGCTATTAGGCTATTGCCCAAAGCTTGTGTACTGGGAAGGTAAGTAACCCCACAGATATAGAACATGCATGTGGTTATTTCTTGCTTCCCCACACCCACTTCCACTTATAACTACAGTACTCCTTCAGTCACCTCTCATGATGCCATTGTCACTATGAGGGGCCATTATATCTCCTCAGCCTATGGGCTGACTAGCTGCCTTGGTACCTAAGTGACTAGGCATTAAGAAGAAGGTCACATTCATTCATGACAGATAGTCCTTGACCTCTACACTTTCTAATCCCAGTACATTGTCTAAGTAACCCGGGGGTTATTTACCTCCTCTATTCCTTTGGCTTCTCCTTCCCCTGGACAAATGACTGATTATAAAGATGATCCCCAAACCGGTCATCAGTATGCAAATGATCAAAATGGACATTCTAGAAGAAATCACATCAGATACCAGGTCTTTTGGTTTCCTTCTCACAGCATCACTTCCATCCCAGCCCCAGTAGCTCCTGACAGCTACATCCTATATGAGTCCCTCTGTCCTTTGTATGACTAACTTATTCCTTGGCTCTGATGGGCATCCAAATGAGCCCTTCATCAGAAATGAAATGGGGACTAGGAGCTGAAAACTGCAGTCCAGTCATTCCTTTGGGGAAGAAATAAACTGAGCAAAGATAAATGGCTGTCACCTGCTGTGTCGAAAAGAAAACGAAAGAGAGGGGGGAGGGAGAGAGGGGGGAGGGAAGGAAGGGAGAGGGAAGGAGAGACAGGAGAAATTCTAGCTGGGGGACAGAGCTCAATTGGTAGAGTGCTTGCAAACAGGGAGCTGGTAGCTCACACCTGCAATCCCATTGCTCAGGAGGAGGAAGCAGCGGGAACAAAGGTTTAAGTTTAAGGTCAGCTCGCAGCTCACAGGAACTTGGGGGGAACGTTTTCAGACTCTGTCTCAAAACAAAACAAATAGGGGCCTAGAGAGATAGCTCAGGGGTTCGGCTCCCAGCACCCACATTGCAGCCCATATCTATCATTAGCTCCAGTTCCAGAGGATCAGGCTGCCTTTTCTTGACTCCACAGGTACCAGGCACGAACATATGCATACATGTGCATAAACCATTCATACACATAACATAAAAATGAATCAAGCTTTTTAAAGAACAAAATAGAAGCAAGCAAGAGTGACATGGGAAGAGAAAGAAGCAAATACACTCGAGAATATCAGATGAGAACAGAGCTAGAGAAAAAGTCCCATTGGCTTCTTGGCACCTCTTTTGCCTGCATCTTTGTCTCTGCATTTCAAACACTTACCTCTCTCCCCCTGGGATCATGTCTCCTTTAAAATTAAAGCAACTAAGCCAGGGGGTGGCCCCTCACAAAGCAATCCCAGCGTTTGAGAAGCAGAGGCAAGTAGATCTCTGAGTTTTAGGTCAGCAATAGATAGATAGATGATAGATAGATAGATAGATAGATAGATAGATAGATAGACAGATAGATTAAAGCAATTAGAAGCTATTTTCTGATGCTTTCAAACAAAAATAGTCATTAAAAAAACTATTACAATGAAGATACTTAGTTTAGGCAGAGAAACAATGGGCAGTTGAAAAGCAGAAGGTGTAAACCAGTTCTAATGTGTTGTAGTTAGATCATCCCACTCCCACCCTATCACCTCCTCAGATCCCCTCTCACCTGGAGCCCTCTGCCTTTTGGATAGCTTTGGAAGTCCTGCAGCTCCGGTTCCTGTTCCCTGAAGGGTCTGAATCACAAAGGAATTGTTGAGAATAAAGCTGATCTTGGAGTCCTTCCTTTGGCTCCAGCTGCATCCCCCGCCTATCTTTCTCTTCCTCTCCAGAGAGTAAGTAAGTGTATTGTTGGCTTTTTGTGTGTAGGACAATGGCGATGCTAACAGTTGTATAAACATGCCTTGAACAGGGGCAAGGCTGGGGAGAGAAATCCAGCGCTCATAGTGCACCTGCTAAGTCATGAACCCTGCCACTAGGTCCTCTGCACTGAGAGGAAGGGGCACCTTTTCCAGATTGGCACAAAGGCTCTGTGAAGTTCATGGTTAGAGACTAGGGTCATTGTCAAGGAGGAAAAGTGTATCAAATAGACAGTCCCATCTGTAGGAAATGGGTCAATCTGTGGCATAGTTCCTCTGACAGCTACTAACAATCCATGAGGAGGCCCACATTGCCTCCTCTGTGTTTCTTTAGAGGAGCAAATTTAGATAAGACTCCTCTCTTCTTGAACTACAAACTCAAGAAATGCTATAAAAAGCAGAAGCATGCAAAGCAGAAACACAGCCAGTATGGAGATACCCACTTAGTGGGATGCTAGCTGTATCAGTTACCACAAGACCAAAGATGAGCAAGATTCTTCCCAGCATGAGAACTGGAGAGGTGGGTTGGGTGTGAGGCTTCCCACAAGTCCTTCTAGCTGTTTCCTACTGTCACTGGGCTCCAGACAGTGACAGAAAAGCACATTGCTTTCCTAAGTGGGAACAACAGGGGAACAGCTAGTGCCTTCCACAGTTCCCTGCCTGAAACACTGTAATATGGGTCCTTCCTGGTGCTGAAGAGGAGCCTGTAAACATTGGGAGGTCCCAAAAATTAGCTCCAGCTCAAAGTCACAGTCTGGCCTAGGCAAATTTTGCCCTGTGGTTCCAGTCCTTTCCAGTAGCCTCCAAGGGTTAACTGCATCCCACATGAGTAAAGATGGATGCTGACAAGTTTGACCACTATATCTAATTTATATCAATGACTGAACTTTTTAAGCTGCCAAGTTTCAAAAAGCCTGGATCTCTTTTTGCAGCCCCAGTCACTTATCAATCCAATATTCAAGGTTCTAGATCTGCAAGACTGAGATTTCACTGTAGCCTCAAAATCTGGACCATCTCTATAAAGGTCTCACTCCTATGAGACCTTCCAGCCTCTTCCAAAGTATGTGAGCCAGCCTAGTGTGAGGAAAGGGGAGTTGCAAGCATACCTATGACTCAGATGCTCTACTCTCCTACAAAACTCTACCTAACCCCCAGCCACCATACTAAGTAGGGTCGAGAGCAGATAACTCAAAGAATGCATGAGGAACTTGAGTTTGTGACCACTGACTTCAGTGAGGTGTTTTTGGTTTTTGCTTTGAGACAGTGTCTCACTTTGTAACTCTGCCTGGCTTGAAACTCACTATGTAGACCAGGTTGGCCTTACATACCCAGGGATCCACCCACGTCTGCCTTCTGAGTGCTGGGATTAAAAGTGTACACCACCAGACATGGACCCTTCAGTGAGTTTTTACTACCTTAGCAAACACCCATTACCCTTCAAAGATCCCTTGCCAGTCTCTTTACCAGGTGAAAACCCATTGGCCCGACCGCCTCTGTTGTCAGTCACAATCAGCTGTGTAAAATCCATGTCATCTCTGGCAAAGTCCCGCTGGATGCCACACCAGTACCAGCCTGTGTCCTCCTTGACCAGGCAGGACACAGTGATGATGAGTTTGCTTCCTGTGTCCTTCAGGACCACACGGTTGGTGCTGTTAGGGGTGAAGGCGATAATGTTGCACGAATCCCTGAAATAGCCCCGGCACCAGTACTTGGTGTGGTCCTTGTAGTGGGCATCGTAGTTACAGTTAGCAGAAACTGTATCCAACTCAACACCTGACTTCACCTTTTCATCCATGACCATGGCATCTGTGAACACACACACACACACACACACAGAGACAGACAGAGAGAGAGAGAGAGAGAGAGAGAGAGAGCTCATTATTTCATTATTCTTGGAAACATACTGAACCTCCTGGGCTCCTGAAGGATAATTGGAATTTAGGTTTTGTTCATTTGAATTCGGTCACGATTATGGGCTAAATTGAATCCTTCACATGTTGCAACCTTAATCCTTATAAAGAATGTGAAGTGACTGAATTTGAACACAAGAAAGACCTTCAAAAAAGAAATTGAGTTAAACTTATATCATTAGGGTGGCTCTTTCAAAAAAACACTTTTAAAGAAATTTTGTTTTATTTTATGTGTATAAGTGTTTTCTCTGCATGATTTGGGTGCACCACAAGTGTATAAGTACACTATGTATGCCTGGAGCCCAGAGGTCAGAAACAGACATCAGATCTCCTGGAGCTGAAGTTACAGGTGGTTGCTAGTTACCTGCTGAGCCATCTCTCCAGCCCCCATTTGGGTAGTTCTGAATCAAATGCAGCTGCTATCCTTATTTAAAATTTTCAAAATAGATGAAGTTAGACAAAACCGTGTGAAGACACAGCCATCTTCAAGCCAGAAAGTTCCCAGAATGACATCAACTCTGAAGAAACCTTTATTTGGGGATATATGAGAGCTAATCTTGATGTCCACTTGATGAGATTCAGAGATGCTTAAATTAATCAATCACATCTCTGGGTGTTTCTGTGTGGGTGTTTCCAGAAAAAAAATAAGTGAAAAAGACCTCCCCTGATTTTAGGCAGTTCTAATTCATTTGCTTAGATCCCACAGCTGCTGAAGTCTTTTCTCCTAGCCTGAGAATGTGTGAGATGTGAACATAAGGACCCTTGAAGCACATGAGTTTTCTTCTGCCATCTAGCCCCTTAACTCTACCTCTCATTCCCTATCTTACCTTGGAAGCAACTAAAAGGAAGAGAAGGGTTAGTAGGCTTGCTCTGGCTGCAAAGGACCGAAATTAAAGGGACACGTGATTTTAGGAGCTGAGAACTTGCCATACAAGACCAGTGTGGCATCTTTTATCATGTCAGGATATTTCATAATGAGGAAGTCACATATGCAACATCCGGCTTTACCATGGCTGGGAAAATATCTGACCAGAGAGGAGAGATAGGACAACAGAGCCCATTACTCTCAGCCTTCCAAGGGTGTTACCCGCCCCCACACCAGCACAAGAGGTTGCTTACAGGAGATAACACGTTCCTGTAAATGTCAGTTTCTTCTCATCACAATCAAACAAGAAAATCTTGTGATCCTCAGTTCACAGACAAGCATGCTGACCCACAGAGAGATGCAGTAGGTCTAAAGGGAGCAAAGCTGAGAGGTGGTACAGCTCGGGGCAAGTCCCGTTTCTGAGTACCATCTTTGGTGTCAGGCTTAGGCAGAATGGAGGTAAGCATGGCTGCCTATATCTATGCAACATGTGAGGGGGGAAATGAGAAGAGAAGGAAAATTGGAGACACTGGGGAAACAAAAACCAAAACACCACTAAGCTCCAGTTTTTGTCAAGGGTTTCAAGTTCCCCACAACTCCCTTATTAGAGGTAAGGACCTAGGATCTCTTAATAGAATCTGTTAACAAGACAAATTTTCACCTCCTCTCATTTTCCTATCCAGGTGCTTAGGTGCTTTAAATGGCTTCACTAAGCAGGGGCTTTAAGTGGAGCTGCCTCAGAAGGTTGTGGCGTAGAGGACAGAGGTGTTCCTTCCCAATACCTTACCTGAAATGAGAGCCAAGGAGAGCAGAATGAAGTGCTCCATGATAAGGAAGTAAACTTCAGCTGGAATAGTAAGAATGGAGGATCTCAGGGACTCCGGATCTGTGAGAGGGAAACATATGTTTGAATTTCTGGTGGTTTTTATCCTATGTGAAGAAAGAACGACCAGTTATTCTAATCAATGCTATTGTGCAGACCAAGCCGGGTTCTGTTCTGTGCAAAGGGAACTCACCAAAAGGATGCCATTCATGAATGAAATGTTATCTTTGCAGCAACTGTGAAAATCTGAGCTTCCAGCAGAGCCCAGAGCAGCAAAAGAACCCTCTCCTTGATTAAGTCCACTTGGCTTACCACTTTATATATTCCCAGAAGACAGATACATGTCATCACTCGCATGGGTCCATGTGAACAACTGTACCCTGTCTTGACATGGCTGTCCCTCTTGTCTGTCCATCATTCTTAGAGATTCAGTGTCTATTTAGATAGGAGGAGTCCCTGCAGAGAAATTCTTAGTAAGTTGAGTCTGAAACTACAGTGAAGACTCAGGGAGTGCTGTTAGAGGTGAAGCATGCCATCTGTCAGAAGAATATCCACCTGCTAGAATACATGAGTAAAGCTGTCAGCATCCAGGGCCAGAGGCTCCAGATTCTGGAAAAAATTTTCTTAATAGAGCTGGGACACATCAAGGAGGTCTTTCTTTGTAGTAGCAGCAGCAGCTTCTCCTGATTCCTGACAGATACACATGTTCTGACCAATAGCTTTGAAAGTTTGCATTCTTTTAAAAAAAATTTATTTATTATGCATATAGTATTTATTTATTATGTATATAGTGTTCTACCTGCATACCAGAAGAGGGCACCAAATTTTATTACAGATGGTTGTGAGCCATCATGCAGTTGCTGGGAATTGAACTCAGGACCTCTAGAAGAGAAGCTAGTGCTCTTAACCTCTGAGCCATCTCTCCAGCCTGAAAGTTTGATTTCTTGAACCACCTCAAATTCTCAAATGTAAGATGGGTGCTCCTTATTACACCCTAGAGATAGCACTTTCCTTCAAAGGCCAGATGGAGATGACTTTTCTACATTGTGCAAGAACATCCTTTCTTGAGAAAAGAGGAGCCTTCCTCTAATTTACAGGAATTCAGTATGTGCACCTGCACCATGCTTGCATTACGATGGGACTTTTACCTACATTACATTATCTACTCCTCATTGGTGATATCTGTTCAATGAGCAAACTGTGTGGCCAAAAAGAATAGGAAGGAGAATGAACAAGTTAAATGAAGTTGAGTGTATTGACAAACGATAATATATGAAACTCATTACAGTGCCTACATAGTTGATGCTGTTAGTTGTTCCTTTTGTTTTAGGTATGTTAATGGTCTCATCACAGCCTCTCTGTTGCTATGGTCAAAACACTGACCAAAAGCAACTAGGGGATGGAAAGGGTTTATTTCAGCTTATAGTCTGTTGGTGTGTGTATGGGGGTGAGGTGAACACAAATCAGTAACTAAAGCAGAGACTATGTAGGAAAGTTGCTTTCTGGTCTTCCTAGCTTGAACACATAGTCCAAGCCCATATGCCCAGGGATGGCACCACCCATAACAAACTGGGCCCTGATACAAGAAAATACCCTCATAGACTTGCCCACAAGACAACTTGATGGAAGCAATTTCTTAACAGACATTTCTTATTCTAAGATATGTCTAGGATTATGTCAAGTTGACAAAAACAAACCAACCACACCATCCAGGTATACCAGATGTCCCTTGCTATACATGCCTTTATGTAGCCCCTCTAAAAGTGAGTCAGGGCTGGCCTGCATGATGAAATTTGGAAGAAGTATGATGTGTGTCTTTCAAAAGTGATACAACTTCTGCTGCAGTCTCTTTTGCTGCTACCTTATGGGGTCTAAAACAAACAATGGAAAGGACTCATATGAAAAGGCAACAACTTGCCAATATCACCTTGTCATGCCAGAGTCACCTCGGTAGTGTCCATGATCAATCTTTCAGATGTCTAAGCCCAGCAATTTCATGAGACATCATGAAAATGAACCATCCATGAAGATGCTCCTGAATTCTTGATCCACACAGACCAGGAACAGATAATAAAGGCTTGTTGTCTTATGCTAACCAGCAAATAATTGTTCTGATGTTTTTAAAATTCAGCACTTATCTCTTATGCTAACCAGCAAATAATTATTCCGATTTTTTAAAATTCAGTTTTTATCTCTGTCAATACTAGAAGCAAAATAATCATTGTTGTTCAGAGATGACACCAAAGAAAATGTCATCAGAAATAGAAAAGGAGTGTACATGGTTAAGTATCAGAAAAATGCTCAAGATAAGGAAAAGTTACATTAAAAATAATGAGAGTACTGGGTGTTGTGGCACACACTATAATTCCAGCACTTTGGAGATAGAAGCAGGAGGATCAGGAGTTCAGGGTCATCCTTATTAGATATCAAGTTCAAGGTCAGCCTGTACTATGTGAGATTCTGTCTCAAATTGAAAAATCAAATAAATAAAACAAATGGGAAGATGAGGGTCAGTGTTAGCTGGTATTAATAATTCTGCTCCTCTCTCAAGGATATGATTAATCTTTAGAAAAAGTACATAGGTTTTGACATTAAACCAAGTAATACTTTTAGAACATATTTTACACAAAAATTTTTATAAAGGAAATAATTTGAAGTTCAAATTTTTAAGATACTCAGGCCAGGGTTAAGTGGATATGGTCATAAATGAAACAAGAGAGACCATAAATCAATCAGTATTAAAACAGGATAATAGGTAAATGAGAGCTCATTTTCCTAGTCACTCCACTTTATGGCTTTTGATTTTGACAAAATAAAAAGTAGCAAAACAAGGCACCAGTAAGGTTGCTCAGCCAGTATTGGTGCTTGCCACATAAGCCTGGCAACCTGACTTTTTTCCCAGAACCACATGATAAATGGAGAGAACCACCTCCACAAAATCGTCCTCTGACATCCACACAAGTGTTGTCACACATGCCCTTTCTCTCTCTGTCTCTGTCTCTGTCTCTCTCTCTCTCTCTCTCTCTCTCTCACACACACACACACACACACACACACTACTACTACTACTACTACTACTATTTTTTAAGAAACAAAGAATCCTGGCATGAATGTTGTTAGTCTCATGTTACATACAAGAGCAGACACAGAAATCTAAGTTAGTAGTCCAAGTTCATATAGTCAGTAGAGCAGAGCCAATGTGATCTGATGTGAAATCTAGCAGGTTTGGAGAATGACACCAATAAAAACCTTTTCCATGGCATTATGCCTCTCCTTCTCTCTCCTCCCCAACCCCACACACCAATAATCCTACAAAGCTGTAGAGAACTTTATAGTTTACACAGAGACTTACACACGCGCGCGCGCACACACACACACACACACACACACACACACACACACACACACACAGTTGTCTGAGGAAGCCAGGTTTCTTACTCTTACCCTACCCAGCTACGGTGGTTAGGAACAGGATATTTCTTGAAAACATGCTTAGAAATTATGCATCTAGATGACAATATCAGGATAGGATTCTGATCGACAACCTACTATAATCTGCCCAGAAAAGCAGCCACTCATCTATGTAAGCAGCAAACCAGCCTGCAGCCGGTGGCATTTTTAGTGATTCTTGTTGTTATCTCCAGCAACACTCTCTGGCAGTCAGACACTAAATCCTCTTCACAATTATCCTCAAATCACCAAGGCTTGTCTAGTAAGTAAGCAGTGGCTACTTCAATTGTAGTTCTCATAGCCGTTCAGGACCAAGCAAATGCTTTCTCTGTTCAAAAGCATCTGAATGTTCCAGTGCCACACCCTCCAACAAGAACACAGTTTAAGTCGCTTCTTTTTCTCTCTTCTGCTTCAAAAAACTTATTGGCTCCAGCACCTTGGGCTCCTACATCATCAAACTGACAACTCCATGTACACTGTAGAATCACACCACTTAACCCCTCAGCCACAACCAAAGTGAATTAACCAACTGCCAAACTTACCTTCTAGCAATAGACTTACCAATTTAACCAATCAAATACATTCTCTTTGACATGTTGCCACCAAGACTCTGTGAAAACCTCTCCACCTGCCCCCTCTAGCAGAGCCACTTGCAGTCTGTGGTTGCTCTGTTCAGGAATCCTCTAATTCTCAAGACAAACTCATTAAAATTTTGGTGTGTTTTAACTTGTTATTTATTTTATTTATTTATTTTTTTTTGAAAGACAGGTGCTCTTATACAGTCTGTTCTCTCACTTTCCTGCCTCAGCCTACTGAGTGCCTCTGATTACAGATGGGCACCACTGCACCTGGCCTCTGAGCTTCTCTTAAACACAACTTCAAAGCTTCCCTACTCTTCTGCTTGCCTGAATCTGGGCCAAGTGCTACAGCAAGTTCAGGATAAACTTGGTGTGGTAGCTCATGTCTGTAACTCGAGCACTAGGGAGGCTGAGGCAGGAGGACTACCATGAGTTCTAATACATTCTGATGATAGTTTAGACTACAGAGTGAACCTTAGTCCATCTGAGCTGCAGAATGAACTCCCCCCCACCCCCCACACACAAATAAAAAAAAAATGGAGGAGAAATAGCTTTTTGGTGACATTTGTTAGGCTAGTCTCTAGTTTTACTTGATTTAGTTAAAAAAACAAGGCAAAGTAATAAACCCACGTATTTTGCATCTACATTTGTTCAGTATCTTCATATGGAAGAAGGGAAAACCATCCATGGATTTGTCTCTGAATCTTTTCCCTTTAGAGGAAAAGCTCTAGTTAGCTTTCTGTTTACACTAAAAGGGTGCTGACCTCATGGGAAGATCCCTGTCACACTCATCTCTAAACCTGAAACCAGGGTGGGTCTACTTACTTGTAGCCAAAATTATTTTTAAAATATGACTTCTTTATTTATATTTTGGGAGTTTTACATCAGGCATTCCAATCCTGCTCACCTCCTGATCCCCCATCCTCTCATCATCCCTGCAGCCACCCTCCAAAAGAAAACAAAACAAAGCAAGCAAACAAACAAAAACCAAGAATATAACAAGAGACAAAACAAAACAAAAAACAAAGATAAAAATAAAAATCCTCTTCTGCTTCCCCTTCTTCCCTGCTTCTCCAACACCCCTCTTCATTCATTCTGGTGGCACTGGGGTGGGGGCCTTGGTATGGTGCATATAGTCAGATTGTCCTATTTGTTCATTACAGCAAGTCACTGGTCTGGTTCAAGGCCCCTGGTCTCTGATACACCATCATCACTGGATCCACACTGGAACTCCTCTGGGATATTCTGTGGCCACCCCAAATCTTAGAGATTCTGCAGATATTGCTCCATAGGACCAGTCCCTTCATGAGCTCCAGCAGGACCTAGATGAGGTAGATGTTAGTGTGGGCCACTGCAAGGCTCAGCTGTGGGACTGGGTGGTAGCTGAGCTGGTCAGTCCCAGCCACTGGGGCCACCCGCCTCAGGCAAGGGAGTGGAGTCAGCTCCTCCATGCCCATGCCCTCAGGGTTGTTCTCCCTCACCTGGTGAGGGGTGGGAACATCTCTCCTGAGTGCAGGGGCCAGTTCTCCCATGAGAGTCAGGGCTACATCTCTTGTTGCAGTGTCCAGCAAGGGGCAAGACCAGCTTTCCCTGGGCCAGCATGGGCCCCAGTGGCAGTGTGGTCCTCAGATGCCAACATGGCCTTGGACCCTGGGCATCTGCACTGCCTTGGATGGTAACAGGAGCCTCAGACATCAGCACAGACTCTGGCTGCAGTAGGGTCATGGATTCTGACAAGCTCCTCAGCTGCAGCTCTGGCCTGGATGTCCCCATGGCATTCGGTAGCAGTGCGGGCCACACAGATCTGCATGCATCACAGCCCTCCAATACTAACCTGAACTCAGGTGGCTGATCTGACCCTGGGCATCCTCATTCCCTCTGTGGTAACAGGAGCCACGTATGTCAATCCAGACTCTGGCTATTATAGGGCCATGGACCCAGACATAGCCCTCAGCAGCAGCCTGGACCTGGATGACACCATGGCCCCAGAGGGCATCACAGGTCACTCAGATCTGTATAGACCCTGTTGCATCATGACCTCCAGACTCCAAACAAGGCCACTGGCTGCTGCCCACATCCTGGGCCTCCAGATGGGCACTAGAGGCAACATGGGCCACAGACTTCAACATAGAGCCCAGCTACAGTTGGACCGCAGACCCAGATATGGCCATTGGCAGCAGCTTGGCCCAGTTGACATCCTAGCTCCATGTGGTAGCCCAGCCACTCAGATCTGGATGCAGTCAGGGAGTTTTGGCTCACATTTTTGACTTAATGCTAAAAGGGTATTTTCATATGCTAGGTTTCAGCTTCTTCTGAGTCCCTGGCTTTGGCTTCTCCCAATCTGGTATAGTCCTGAATCTCAGGATATTTCCATTTGGCAAATATGAAACAACCCCGTTCCCAGCAAGCTACCAGTGACAATCAGAGAGACAAAGAAAAAAAGTAAAAGCTGTTCTCAAACCTAGTCACCACGGTCTAATACCTTCAGACCCAGCCCAGGTTGTTCTTCAGACTTGAGGGAAGTGTTCACTTTAAATTAAGTGAGTGTTGCTACAACAGTGTGAAGATTATCAGGAAACCAAGAACCTACAGCACTTCCCCATTACTGTCCCGCTAACTGGGCAGAGCAAACCCAGGGCCTCTTCCTGAAGGCACACTCGAGCCAAACCAGAGATTAAGGGGAAGCCTTGTGTGCTTGATTCTTCTGGGGTGACAGGAGGAGAGACCATGGGGTCTCTCCTGAAGTGATAGCAAGAGGAACTAGGAAACTGAGTGCTGGCCTAGCGTTAGGATTCAGACAAACCTCAGGAATGGCTATGGTCTAATTCCACGCTCAGATCCCTGCTTCTCTTTGTTTGAAACTGTTGTCTCTTAGTTCTCATCAAGTCAATATTTTATTTTGGGAGTGGGGCTCTATGGATAGTTTCAGATTTAGGTAGGGAAAAAAAGGGTAGGCAATATGATGTGACTGGTACTGTTCCCTGCCCGACACGTATCCTGATTAACCAGAGGACAGCAATAGCAGCTAAAGCCTCAAGTGCATTGTGGTGGTGATCAATCCTGCATTTTTCTCCCCCACCTCACCCCAAGGCCTCATATGCAGCCCTGGTACTTGATAAGTTAAACAAGGCTGGCCTCAGACTAAAGAGTCCTCTGCTCTCCACTCCAGGATTGGGATTAAAGGCATATACATCATACTTGGACAGTGGTCAACCTGCTTTCCAGACTGCAGAGACAATGTGACCAACTGCCTCACACCTACACCACCCTGCCTTACCCTCATACTGAGATGAAAATAACTGTAGTACTCACACAATTGCAGAACCAATGGGCATCTAAAATCTCAGTGACTAGGGAGAGTTTAATCCTTATCACTGCCGCACACGCATTTGTGTACACATGCACGAGCACAGACAGATGGGCACTATGGCCTATGCTCATACTCAAAGCCCCGGGGAGGCTGAGATAGGCACATACCTGAGCCTTGCTGGCCTAGACTAATTGTTGAGCCTCTAGCTGGTAGCAGAACCTGTTTAAAAGTAAGTGGGCAATACCTGAGGAAAGCCAAGTTTGTCCTCCAGCCTCCACATGCAAAATTTATGTGCACCCCCACCACACACACACACAGTAACATGCGCACACACAAATCCACAAAGTGATAATAGCGTTTAATCGTCTCTTTTTGCCTTATATTCAGTAGTAGAATTATAACACACACTTAAAGTATTGGCTTTCCTGAAAAGAAGGAACTCGTCATTTAGGCTCACAAAGTAACTAGGAGCCCAGAGAAAGCCTGGCACTCCACTTCCATTTTTCATCCAGGTCTTTTGCCATCTGTTTCCCTTTGCACACAGGCATGTTAAATGTTACTGTTTGCATTAGAAATGTCCCCCATAAGCTCAGGCATGTAATCACTTGGTCCTCAGTTGGTGGCACTGACTTGGAGAGTTTAAAGCCTTGTACCACCTCAAGTCAACTCGGCGATCACTCAGCTTCCTGCTCCTGTTACCAGGCCTGGCTCTTGACACTATGCCAACTCCCCACCATCATAGCCTCTCACCCTCTGGAACCAGAAGCCCAAATGAACTCTTTCTCTTACACATTGTCTTGGCCATGCTACTTTGTTACAACAACAGAAAAGTAAGAAATGCAGAGTATAAAATCTTATAGTTTTATGGGTTTTAGATACATTACTTATTTTACTCATCCTTCCGGGCTGAAGCCACAAAGCTAAAAAGTTACTATCTTAGTGCCAGCTTCCTTAAATGTCCTGTTCCCGACTTACAAAGCATACCTAAAGATCTCCAGTGGTCCTCAACCTGTGGTTGCCTTGGATTCCAAGAGCATCAGAGCCTTGCATAACAGGCCACCTCCCAGAGAGGACAATCATCTACGATGCTGAGGCTGCACCTTGGAACAGTGTTTCTGGAAGCAAGCAGGACCAGTGCTGAGAGCAGTCAACTGTGGCTCCAAGCCCCAAGTGATCCCAACCCAGAGCTGCACAACAATGGCCACCGTCTTTCATTTGCTTAAACATACCCACTCAGGTGAACTTAGCAGTTTAAGCCCTCTTTAAACTCAGCTCATTCCTGTTTTCTCAACATCTTAGGACCCTTTCATCCAGTCCAGCTAGAATCTTTCCTTGGTAAGACGAGACTCCCTCAAGACTCCACTACTTTTTGTGTCTGGGAAGGAAGCATAGTTCGTGATCATCGGTAAGGCATTGCCTTCCTGTCAGGCTTCCACAGAATTGAATTAGAGAAGAGGAAGAAAATAATTAAAGCAGACCCAGGGAGGAGTGAAACCATGTGGCCACCAGCCAGACGATCCCACTGCAGTGGAAGGAAACAAGAGTGTCTGATAAGGCCTATGGTGTTTGCTGGTGCTAAATGTGAACGTTGGAGAGATAGCTCTTTATATGTCATGGTAGCTAGTCAGTAGTCTGTTCGGTATTTGAGTTCAAGGAAACTGAGGTCTGACAGACCCTACAAGCTTTGAGGATCACAAAGTAGGTTTCCTTGAACTTTTTTATTTTGCAGGCATAGACAATAGGGTTCATCATGGAGTTCGCGTGGGACAACAGGATCCCCACGCACATTGCAGCCTCTGGTATCTCAACTTTAAAGTAGGACACCAAGTTGATGATGGACAAAGGCAGCCAGCACAAAGCGAACAAGAAGAGAACCAGAAACAGGGACTTTGCTGTCTTGAACTCCCGTCCGTAAAATGCACGTGTCTCTCTGAAGCCAGACAAGTTCTGACTGAGTTTGTTACGGAGGATGTAGAAGATGTCCAGATAGATGATGCACATGACAACAAGAGGGATGAGGATCCAGGTGATGAAACTGAAGAAGACCATGTAATCCAAACGCACAACTGAACGAAAATGGCACGAAAGGGTGGTAACATTTGGGGAGATTCCTGAGGTTGTTTTTCTATTCCAGCCAAACATGGGGGTCAGTCCAACCAGGAAGGATACTAGCCAGCAAAGGCTCAGGGATAGCCATATTCTTCTTTGAGTGGTGACGGTCCTATATCTGTTTGAATGGGGAAAAAGTGGTGAGTTCACAAAGAGAAACAACTAGTTGGGGGAAAGGGAGGAAGTAAAAGCAAGCTCTCCGATTCCCTAATCTTCTGCTGAGAGATGAAACACCCAAAGTATAAGGTGACATTAAACAACAACAACAATAAAGAATGATCAGCAATATTTTTCCAAGAATCAGGTGCCTACATTCCTCCATTCAATCAAGAATTTTTTTTAAAGATTAATTTTATGTATATGAATGTTTTGTTTGAATGTATGTCTGTGTACCATGTGCATGCCTGGTGCCCAGGATGGTCAGAAGAAAGCATTTGATCTCCTGGAACTGGAGTTATAGACAGTGCTGGGTGCTGGGAATGGAACCTGAGTCCTCTGCCAAAATAGCAAGTGCTTTTCTCTATTGAGCTATCTTGACCATCATCTCCCTATTCTGCAATGTAAGAGTTACCTAAGTCTTGGGATCCCCAAGCTGATGAGAACCTCCCCAGGCTTGCTGGTGTGCTGCGCTCTGCACTGATTTGGTTGGCTAGTGCGCGGGAGCTCATAGGTTCCAGCACACCTCCAGACTTGTACTTACACTTGTGCTTTGTACCTGTACCTGTACTTGCCCCTTGTTTCACATGGGCATCTATTCTGGTCTTGGAGTTAATCAATCACTGTTTTCTTAGGGTTATGCTGAGGTGTTTCAGAGCCTTTAATAAGTTCATCCTGGAGAGTCATAATTTCTCATTAAACCATACTTCCTAAAAAGCCTAAATCAAATTGCAAGAGAAACTGATACTTAACTAAACCTCATAACTATGAGAAATTTTTATGATAATCTCTATTTTACTGATGGCAGTGGCATAGCTATGAACAGACTCTGTAGCAGGATTTTTCTGAGAACTTTCGATTGATTAACTTTATCGACTTAACCTTATAAGGATGAAATTATCATCTTAATTTTATAGTTCTAAAAAAAAAATGTAAGACAGCATTAGGTAATGTGTAGAAGCCAAAAGTTGGAGAGCTATAGGTTGAAAGAAGGTAAGCCTGGTTCAGATGCTGGGAACCATTCAGATGTGGGAACTGAAGTAGAGAACCCTAAAAAACTTCCCCAATGTTAGACCACAAGACCAGGGAGAAGAACCCAGACTTGTTTTCACCCATAGCTTGTTTGTAGTTTTCCTTGCCATGCTCTTTCCCCAAGAGAAACCAGGAAAAAAAATGTGATTTCTTTTCCATTGGGCTGTTTGTTCTTTTTGTGTGGTCACAGGAAAAGATGCTACTATTTTGCACAGTATTTTTGCACATATCACAAAAGTGTCTGTCTTAGAAGTGTTTTACACTTTATTCAAAACCAAAAAGAGGAAAAATAAAATATACATTTTATTTTTCATTTTTTAAGATATGGTTCGCTTTGTAGCCCAGGCTGTCTTGTAACTCACTCTGTGGACCAGGCTGGCCTTGAACTCACAGAGATCTGCCTGCCTCTGCTTCTTCAGTGGTGGGATTAAAGGTGAGCCACTACCACCAGGCAAAACTGAACATTTTTAGAATCTTCATTCAACATCAGGACAGACTCAGACAGATGCAACATTAAAATCTAACCTACATCTGCAAAGCCACACAGACAGCTGCTTATCTTTTATTACACTTATCTTTCTACTTCTCCTAAAGCAAGATATCAATCTACTAGGCTCTATCATTTTGAAAATGAGATCAGATTTTTAAAAACCAAAGATACATCAGGCTTTCATCATCTTGAGCCACTCTACACAGTAGCAGACACCCATGATCATTGGAGAAGGGCTCAGAGTGCCCATTTCCTATTCCTGAGTCTCAGCTCTTCATGCCTAACCTCTTCACAAAACATACAGTGCAAAGACATCTGCTGCCCTTTGTAAACATCAAGGGCCAGTTTTGGTTCATTTCTACTGAGCAGGTCTGAGAGCCAAACTTGGTAGCTCTATTTTCCAGTCACAGCTCTCTCTCTCCTCTCTCCTCCCTCTCTCTCTCTCTCCTCTCTCCTCTCTACTCTCCCTCTCTCTCTCCCCCCTCTCTCCCTCTCTCATTGCTGTCCCACCCTTCTTCAAGCAGGTTACCTGACTGTCAGCTTGACCCGCAGGTATCGGTCTACGGCAATGGCCAGCAAGGACATGATGGAGGCGTGGGTGAAGATCAAAAGCACGCAGGACATGAAAAGGCAGGCATAGAAGTGCATCTCCACTTCCAGGCTGACAGCTATAGCCAAAGGCATGACCAGCACCCCGACAGCAATGTCAGCCAGTGCTAGAGAGACTATGAAATAGAAGGTGGTGGTCCTCAGACTGGGGTTCAGCTTCACCACCCAGATGACCAGCATGTTGCCCACTACAGCGCAGAGCCCGATGACAACCTCCATGGAGATGTAAGTGACCTTCAACCACAGCGCAGTTGTGGTATTGTCAGGTTTCATGCTGTCTCGGAGAAGCTTCTCGTGACAGGTATGTCAGCAGGATGTATACGGGCTATTGGACCTAGCTCATGCCAGACATCTGCCTAGAAGTCTGCATGCAGCAGCGGCCGAGAACTCACAACTTGCTCTTTCCTTCCTGTGTGATGCTTTCTTGGAAAGTCTTCTCAGAAAGGGCTTGTTACAGCTTCAGCCACATATCACTGGTCTCCCAGTGACCTGGAGAACGCAATGCTATGTGGCTTAACCCGGAGTGCTGCTGTTCTTGCTTCCCCAGACACACTGTCAAGCCTTCTGCCTTCCTCTGCCCCCCTCGGAGGGCTTTTCAAGCTCCATCAAGATAAGCACCCCTCTTTAGAGTGTTTCAAGAAGTGAGATAGGCCAAGAGGAAGTACAGGGCCAGGAACCCTCAGAAAAGAAAAAAAAAAAAAAAAGTGGGAAGAACCTAGGAAACTGGCATGGGTGTCACGCTGACAGCTCAAAGAGAAGATGAGAGACCGGATCTGGTAATGAAAGCTGATGCTCTCAGCTTCATGGAAAGCTAAAGCAGGGAGATCACAGGTTCAAGGCCTGCTTAGTTACAGAGTGGGGTTAAGGCCAGCCTAAATAACAGACATTTCTCAAAAAAAAAAAAAAAAATTATCAAGCTGTGGGGAGCTAGAGATATATCTCAGTAGTAGAATGATTGCCTAGCATGCATCAGAGCCTGGGTACCATCCTATCACAACACACACACGCACACACGCACACGCACACGCACGCGCGCACGCACACACACACACACACACACACACACACACACACACACAAGTACTGCATGGAATCATGGACCAGATGCGTGTAGGGATAGGATTGGGTAGAAGAAGAAATGGAAACACTAACTAGGTAATATTCCCACCCACTGCTTAGTTAGCAAGAAGTGAAAAAGGACTTTCTTGTGACAAAGTGGTGGCGTGCATGCCTTTAATTCCAGCACTGGGGAGTCAGTGGCGGCCACCATGAGTTTGAGGCCATCCAGGTCTACCTAAGAAGCCTAGGTCAGTCAAGGACAGACTCAAAACAATTGTGTGTGTGTGTGTGTATGTGTGTGTGTGTGTCTGTCTCCCTATATGTGTGTAGATATAGATATGTTTGTATATACGTGTCTGTGTATGCACAGCTGTGTCCAGATGCCCATGGGGGCCAGAAGAGGGCATCAGGTCTCCGTCTGCAACAGCAGCAGAGCCATCTCTCCAGCCCCAGTGTTTAAGCTGGTTGGCTGGTTGTTGTTTGTTTTCGGTTGGTTTGGATTTTTGTTTTTGTTTGGAAGGTTTTAGCAGCCTCCCTTATAGCCCTTCATCTTACTTCTGGTGTAACTGCTTTCCTTATCTCTCCTTCATTGGAGGAAGTTACTGAGGGCAATTTCTAACAAGTGGCAAGAAAAGCCTTTCTTACCAAAATCGATCTGAATCCTGCTTGGTTAGTTACTGGAAAAAAAAAATCTCCATCCTTTGCCACTCAGTACCACAAAGCAACCTCATGTGAGAGAAATAACTTCCTGGGCATGGGCATTGTGGCAATTCTACACCAAATGGCATCTTTCTGGAGTGGATCAGCATCTCCAGGCATGGAAGCCCAGCTTTAGGAGTGAGTATGGACAGAGTGGAGCTGATGGAGATCAGATTAGGGGTCAGACACCCTAGTCTGTCCTCCAAGGACACTTCATACATGCCATACACAGACATACATGAAAGGCAAAACATCCACACACACAAAGATATTTTTTTTTAAGCTGAAAGGAAGTGAGGAAGGTGACAGGGCCAGGAGCATAGTTCTAGCCCACTGGAAGTGAAGGGCATAGTTAAAGACGGGTGGACCTGACTACCTGTCTATCTGCACTGTCTATCTGTGGAAACTGAGTTCTTTTGACGCCAATTCATTCCCACTGGGTTGGGGAAGTCAATGGGACAGCCTGAGTCTAAGACCACACAATCTGTAGAAGGCCCACCCACCAAGTGAAGAAGGACAGAGGACACACATATGGCCACAAACACAGCCACCTCGTTTTACCTAGAAACATTACTCTCAGAGGTCCCTGAAATGCCTTGGCCATTTCCTCGAAGCCAAAAGCCCTTTGTGTTTTCAGAATAAACAGCATCATGCTTGGCCTATGACCGGGCTGTCTGTTCACTAGAGAGTGAAATCCAAAAGGCAATCTGGGAAAGGAGACAGAGAGACCAGGATAGGCAACAAACCTCCTCCCTCGGCCCATTCCCTCCCATCCCCTGAGATCAAGTTCTGGCTCCTTGAAATTGCTTTCATTACAAGTCCCAGTGAGGGCCATGAGGGTTCAGCCTCTACAGGCTCCTGCCATCTGTTTCTCACCCAGAAGCCAGAAGCCACACAACAGCAATTCATGGCTTGGTCATACCCTTTCACTTCCTAGCTGGAGGGCCTCTTTCTTAGCCCACCTCAGAAAATAAAGTCTCCCCTCAAGATAGTTCTTCCGCAAGACCTTGAAGGAATCTTCCTATAGCACCTCTCTCTCGTGCGGATCCCACCAAGCTGACATCAGGGCCGGCCCCCCATCCCTACCCTGTAACTCTGCACCACAGCGGCTGGCAGGCAGCAGTACACTATTGCTAGATGAATGGTTAGAGATGATTCTTTAGCAAGCCAGGTGGCAGAAACCTGTCACTGGGTACACAATGACAGGAACCCTCAGCTAGGACCTGTTAGGTGCTCTCCAGGACACCAGCTACAGGGAACTGGGGGGGGCATTTTATTATTTGCGATCTCATGTAATGTCTTTGGAAGGGGGAGACACTACTCATCAATGGTGAGCAGAGCCTCAGAAAGGTTAAATAACTTTTAGATAACTTGGCCCAGAGCACACAGTTAAGAAGTGACAAGCTGACATTCAGACCCACACGGCCGCCTCAGAGCCCACGTCCTGGATAGAAGGCCTCAGAAAGTGAATAAGCAAATAACCAACCAGATATGAAGCTGTCACGAGTATCAGGAGCCTCTCGTTTTGGTGTCACTATGTGATCAATATTAGAAATGTAGATGTCTAGGCCACCAAGACCATGAGAGAAAAAAGACATGTGAAGTAGATTCAGTGTCGCCTGACTCAGGAAGAGATGGTAGGACCACAGAAAGGTCCACCACACGAGCAGGCCACTGGTGAAGCTATGGGTCACACCGAAGACCAAAAAGTCAGTTTTAGACAGTGAACTGAAGAGTAAGTGAGTGGTGGCTTGTATTTCCCTGTCATTCTTTCCCTTCTAAAATGAGGGCCATCGTGACTTTCGGTTCTACTGGAAGAGCCTGATCTCTTTGAGGGAGATGAGGATGAGTTAGAGAATCATCATTCTAACGAAGTGACAGGAATTCAGGAAAATCTCTCAAGCTCTGGCTCGGAGCAACAGAGCACAGTCAAGCTGATCAGAGTGAGAAGATTCGTGGCTCTTTCGGAGTGTCTCAGAAAAGCCTAGAAAACTTCAGTTGCCACCCTTCAACAGCAAGGCACATTAGTAGGAGACCAGGGTTAGATCCCCGGAACCCAGAACTGGTCCAACCCAGAGCCAAGACAGGATGTCGGGCAGCCCGAAGGTGAAAACCACTGCTCAGAGCTCTCACTGACTGGATGCCGGCATACGTGCATAAAATCGGTCTACTCACTTCCTCTTGAAACCATTACCACTTCCCCCAAAACCTTATACTTTTGCAGATCTTTCCAGGTGCCAGTGAACAGCAGGGGCTCAGCAGGAACCAGTCCTAGGCATCCTTGAAGGCGCCTTCTCCTTGCCCCCTCCTCTCGTAGCTAGCTCCCTTGCCCCTCTCTGCCAGTTAGTTATGGGGAAGATGCTGTCCTTTGGGCAGCATCCCCCACAGGCACTGCTCTAAGCTCTTCTTAGGACTAGGCCAAGGCCCTTCAATTTACAAGGCCCGAAGTCAAGGTGCAGAGCTTGCTAAGTATCAGAGAAAGTGAGAGGTATCGATGAGGCCCAGACACCCAAGTCAAGGTTCCTGTAACCCGAGTTGCAGGAAATCCTGCTCTGGGGAAGCAAACTGCTCCATCCTAGGCGTTCACACCCTGGCTATCATATCCCCACCCACCCCAAGTGAGCCAGGCCTCCAAGCCCAAGAATGAGCCTAGAAGGTTCACCTGCCACTAATGTTCTTTCAGATTATAGGCTCTCAAAACGTGAGAGGGCTTTCAGCTAGCTTTGTCTCTCAAGAGTAGGGGTGGAGCATCAGTTTTAAGTGTTTGAGATTTGACTAAGGAGCTATGCTCATATATGGCCACCAGGTGGCAGCACGTCTCCATCGTCCACTGGAACACAGGGGTCCACCAAGGAAAGAAAACAAGGAGAGCTTAAAGCTGGCTTTAGCCAGCCAGCCACCTCAGACTTCATGGTCTGAGTGGGAGTGGGTGATCCTTGGGTTGGGTCAGCTACTGGGAACAGGACATTTTGCCAGTTTTCTGGTTCCTGGCTCCTCCACTGAGGTTGCTGTGTGGTGGAAGCCAGCCAGCCAACCCTCCCTCATCCTTCTCCACTCCACACTCCTACATCTAGTCCATGCTCAGACAAAATCAGGAAACCACATTACTTTACCGCCTGCTGAAGTGTCCTCCTGGACAACGTTATTTCCCTCCGCTTTTTATTAAAGCTATTATACAGAGTATGTCTCCGCATTTTATTATGATTACTACGTTATTATGATACTATATTAAGATACTATATTGTTACTACAACTTCTCTAACGAGTTTAGCGCTAGGGAGGAGGTTGCTTTTCTTACAGCTTCCCCTGCTCTGTTCATCAGGTTTGTAAAGAATGTCATGTAGGTCACTTCTGCATGGATAGCCAGGAGACTTAGAGGAGCAGCCCAAGCCATGCTGTTTTAGCAATCGTGTTGCACTTAAGACTTCCTAGAAAAATCTATGTGCATCGTCTCAATTTCAGATTCCTAGACTTTTTAAAAAATTATTAATCTTTTATTCTTATTCATGTGTGCACCTATGTGACAGTGCCGTAGACGCCAGAGGTCGTTATTGGACCCCTTGCAGCTGGAGTTATGAACCACCTGATGTGGGTGTTGGGAAATGAACTCAGGTTCTCTGAAAGAGTGGCAAGTGTTCTTAATCACATGGAGTCAACTCTCCAGTCCTGGCTTCTGGTGTCTTAGTTCTGTCATGTGCCAAATAATGAGCACGTAGAAGGAA